GGATACGCCCATGGCTGCTGCAGTGTCGCGGTAGCCGACTGAGAAGACGAGGTGAAAGCGGGTGCAGGCTACGTCTGTTTCAAAGCAACGTTAATTTTAGTCAACCGACTGTGAATGATACCTAGCCCCGGTCTCGATTCAACCAGACCGAGGAACATGAAGCAGGCCCGTAAATAGTGGTTTGGACGGTCACGCTATCCAACCAAAATAGGAGTTAACATTATCCGACTCTGCGAAGCGATTGCGATGACGCTCGTGGCTCACTAATTGGTAAAACCTATTTTTAATATTATTGGCTGAATTTGAGCAAAACTCGTACACTACTGGTTAAAATAAACAACCTCCATCTGTTTCTCGTGGACGGTACCCGGTCAACGATTGATATATTGTACAGAATCCCCAGCGAGAACATGAACATCAGTATAACCACAGGATTGCTTCTTTCGTTACGACCATTCTGTCACGCCTACACGGACCCGCGTATATCAGCACGTAAAAAAAGGAGGGGGTCTCAAAGAAGTAGACTTCCCCTTGCAATATAATATACTCTCGAAATAGCAGACGACACTAAGGTGTCCGCGTTGATTCAAACAGTCGAGGAGAACATTATCGTGAGGCCATAAGTGGGAATATTGTCACTGCTCTCGACTTTGTGATCGTTGGCGGCATCGTAGAGGTTATGGCAAAGGGCATATCGATTGGCGGCGTGATGCTGCGTGACGCCAAGCTTAACAGGCTTCGCAGCCGAGACAGCAACCTGCTAACTAGTTTTCATGACGTATCAGGCACGATTGCGCGCGCTTCGGGAGTAGAGGTAGAAATTCGTCGTGCTCAGAGATCACTGCTTTCGCAGTATGTGAAATCAGTGATGACTCCCCTTGGACCTCGGTGGTTCTGACAAAATACGACTTTTCCTTGAACCACTTCCATGTATGTATGATGACCATCGCTGATAACTACCTGAACAAATTACGCCACACCGTGAAGACGACCGTCTACTTGTGCTTTCAGAGAATATAATGGGCGCGTGAAAATATTCTTACCTACTTTCAATCGTATGATGTTTGGCATCTTCTAAAGATTTGAGAAAAAGTCATGCGTACTTCTCTGTCCCACCAAATTATCGGGATTCTGTTTTTATTGCACACCATATCAAAATGTTATAATGGTACTATTGGATAAAATGCTTAGGTTAGGTATGAACTTATTGACAGTAAAACTCTTGCTATGTCCTCTATTTTGACGACCTTGTGGAGCTTCCAGAGTCGATCCCGCAGCACTCGTGCTGCCCCAGCGGTCGAATCACAACGTTAGAGAGACCGCTCACTCAAGAAAGGAGTCGTCCCCGCTACGGTCTGTCTAAACTTCGCTTAATGGGTTTAATTGCAACAACTGTCTACCTGCAAAGATGCACTCTTAAGAAAAACCAATTTCACACCAAAACACGTGATGTGTAATGATTGGTCAAAACTCGCTTGTGATTTGAAGCATCTTAACCGTCAATAAAACCAAACCTATTTGGGATCCTAATAGCGACTGGTAAGCTTGTTTACGATGACTATGCTGTTGTGTAAGTGATCACCAAATCGGAGCGAGACACGGCATGCTGTAATGAGAACCCCTCAGCCCACGATAGTAGTTCGGCAGGAGGGTTTGGGCCTCTCAACGAAAGTCAGGATATCTTCATTTAGAAGTTGAGAATCCTCCGGTCGGGTTGGAGCGAATTGCTAAGGTTTGGCTGTGTGCGCTATAAGCTGACTATCAAAAATAGTGTTCTACAAACTGCGCTTAAGGGTAACTAAACAATACTCGTCTTGGTTCACGGATGATTGATCCTTTTGTGGGGACCCACTTGTGTTTACAAAGGTACATAGTTATATATAAGTGTAAGTTAGAGAAGAGAGTTCTGCTTTTTTTCTTTAAATACAATAGTCATTTTTTTGCGGAAAAGATTCCCAGCCGGTCCAGTATCGGGTTCCTACCCGTTTCTCTCGACACAAATGTGGTTCGGGTATTGTCACGTGGTTGCGAGCGTGTCTGTATTCCGAAACTCGAACGCAGTCACGATTTGCCCCGGTGACAGCCCAGCTGCGGGTAAATTACGCATGAATGGAGGCGATTAGGCAGCCTGAAAGAGACTGGAATGTGGATTTGAGTACGAATTCATGCGGATGCAAAGTACTACTTTAAGTTTGCTGGCTGCATTCACATCCTTTTGGCTCTGTAGATTAGGGCCTACACCAGCCTGGACGGTAAAACGACTCTTGCTAATCATTCTATGTCTATAAAACGCCGCCGATACTGAGTGCCTGCCGGTCGCCCAATTGGAATCCGGCATGTAGTGAATACGGAGTGAAAATCCGTTAGCTGCATGTACAGTCACTTCTCACTAAAAAAAGAAACTCTAGCTTGGTGTCTATTATTTTTCTAAGTAATTGTAGAATCACGTTTAACTTCAATTTTAACTGGTTTGCTTTCATTCATCTACTCACCTCGACGATGGCAAGCCAACACGACGGACACAGCCACTTCCTTCTCAGCATTCTTCAAGTGGTGTCAGCACACCTCCGCGTCGTGGGTGGGGGCGCCTCGACGAGGCTGCGCCCGTTACCTGAAGGCATGGGTTCATGTTCAACAAGGTAATACCTCAAATACAGCACAGGCAATTATGCGGCTGCTTGATGGCGTGCCGAAAGCACGTATCACCAAGCCTGTCTTGATGGGGTAGCTGCTTCAGGAGACGACGTTGGTGAGGCAGAATGGGTTCTGCCAACTGGTTCCGACCTACGGGGACCTCCTACGTATCACATACGGACCATCCTGGCAGATCACCTAATAAACGGCTGCGTGCAATTCATAAAATTTCCTGGGAACCAACCTGGGAGCTGGCAGCAAATCCCCCCTCAAACCGAAATAGGTATGTACGGAAGACGCCAGAGGCACCGCGTTGAGTGCGCATACGTCGGAGCCGAAGCATCAGAAGCATAAATAAATATCAACTGGCTCAGGATGCATAGATTATTTTTACGTAATAAAATTATTTTTCCTATTGCAACTCATGTCGTAATCTTCAACCAATCAACGCCAGCAACACGCCAGGCCACCCGCAAGAGCGACACAGGATCAAGACCCATCAACATGCCGCGCCCAGTACGCCGCCGTCGAATCACTTTGCAGCTCTGCACGTCTGGGTAAAACGTAGCGCTAGTCTGGATGCCAAGGTAGAGCGGAGCGGTAGAGTGCACGTCAATCAGCTGGGTCTTCATGACGCACAGGCGTCGCCGTGCCGGTAATTACGGTCGAGGCACGTCGCGCCAACGTCTTGCTACCTGGAGACGAGATTGTCGCATGAGCTGGCTGCGCAGCTCGCTACCAGGGGGCATGGCTAAATGTCGGGGACGTCCCTGCGGAATGGATGGTCCGCGTCTGTTAAAATGAACAGTACACCACTGAGAAAGCTTACTACAGTGTATTTTTCTTTAATCTCTCTATCCTCTATACTAATGCTTATACAGACTGGAGCTCAGGGTCTGAGGCAAAAGAGGAAGTGAGCTCGTCTTCGGACTGCGTTCTTGGCGTCTGCAC